AGTAAATCAAGATAGAAGCAGAACAGGAAATGAAGCACATTGTACAAATGACCACCTTAGTGGAAAGTGTACAATAATTGATGACTGCTGTACAAGAATGTCATCTCTTTTCTTTCAATTAGTTGCCGCTGTTTCCGGACGTGGTGAATATTCCATGGACCACAGTGTTCAAGGATGAAGACATCAAGTCTTCCTCAGGGACTTTGAGTAGGTCGCAGCGCTGCTGGGTGTCCGAAATCCTGGCAGCAACACCAACTGTAGGAAACGACAAGACTGAGACGAAGGAAGGAATGTCTATTATTAACATCTTGTACAGTAGTCATAAAATATTGCACACTTTCCATTAAAACAGTCATTTGGATAATGTGCCTCATTTCCCCTTCTGCTTCTATCTTGATTTGCTGTTAATATGCCCACATTGTCTCTTGCGTTTCTCTGCGCAGAACCGTTAGGCATTGTTGGTAATTTCTCAACATATACTACCTAAATCCAGTCCGGTCAGCAGCACCAACTACACACTAATTAATGCATTCCACTGATGAGTGTCAGTAGTAAGTTAGGTAAATGTATGTGGAGAGAATATCACCACTGGCTAAAATTAACCTGTTGAATACATATTATTATTTATTTGTCCCTTGGATTCCTAGTGGAACATACGGATCCAATAGTACGTCTCCACTACACTCTCTTCTCTGCAATCTTTTCAACCTGGCTCCACCATTGCCCACAAGCTCTCATTTCTTCCTCACACAATCCCCTCCATGTCACCCTCACCTCCGACGCCCAACTCATCGTTTCCCATTTGGATTCCACTCGAGTGCCTGGCTTGACGCGTGATGTCTCCGAATGATCTTCTCAGTGAATACCCAATCCATCTCCACTTCCTTCCACTGAATATTTGTTGAGCGATAGGTTCTTGCTTTGTTGGTTCGTCGCCAGCCAGCCAGAGTTCCTTGTTGCTTATTCTCATTGTTCTGGCCATCTGAGCTTCAGTAACAAGCCAGTGTAGGCAGTTGTTGATGAATGTCTGTAGTTTGATGGAAATCCCTTTCGTAACGCGCCAAGTCTTTGAGCCATACAGAAGCACTGACTTGACATTGGTGTTGGAAATCCACATCTTGTTCCACATGCTGAGTGCAGAAGATCTCCTGTCTTGCTTTTCCAATCCTGGCTGGCTTTGACGTCCTCATGTGTACCTGTGCCGCCTGTAGTTGAAACTACGCTCCCTTGCCTAGATAGGTGAAGGAGGTTACTTCCTTTAAATTTCTCTCGTTGACGGTGATTGGAGCTTCTTGTTGTTGGTTGGGTATCTTCATCACCTCTACCTCTGTTTCCTCTACGTTCACGTGAAGGAAGTCCCGTCTTAGCTGCCCTACCCTGCTTCTTCTGTCAGCTTGTTAGTTTTCGCCTGTAGATCTTCCAGTTTGTGTGACATTATATACAAGTCATCGGTGGCGAAATCCAAATCTTCTAGGATGTTTTCCGCGGTCCAGCCAGCGTATCCCCCTCTTCCCACTTCTCACTGTTTGTTGCATGATCCAGTCCAGTCGACGACAATCAGGAATATTATGGGTGATAGTAGGCGGCGTTGTTTTAATCCTGTCTTCACTTCAAAGACATCATCACTGAGCTGAGCTTCCCATTGTGAATTACTTGGCATGTGGTGTCTTCATATTAGTTGTGTTGAATACATACTCACAGTTAATACATCTAATACAACTGGGTATATTAAAAAAAGCAACTCATCAATTATCGTATGATAATTACGTAGAAATAAGATGTGTGTAGACACTTTAAATCACACTGATATGAAGTAGTAGACAAAGAAAGAGGTTGATTACATAAATACAATATGATATAAAGTAACATTATCATAAAGTAAGTTATCATACATGTATACTTTGAACTTCAAAACACTCAAACAAAAAAATGTGTACCTATAATAGTATAACGCAAAGATAGTTAATTAAAGCGGTAAACATATAAAAATATATAAGATACACAGGTAAACTCTATAAAATATAATACTATGTTATTTGTTTCCATTGGTAACAACCTTATTTCCGAAATCAAGCCTATGAATTAGGTGACCATAGGCGTTAAGCGGTTAAAGATAAGCGAAAATTATCTATCCATAAAAGTTTCTTACATTTCAGTGCTCATCAGACGTACCGATTTTCAGCAGACAGTTGAAATACATAACTTTATACTTTTCATCTTAAGTGAAACACTTTAAAAACATGTATGAGTTTTTCTCATGGATATTAAGAAGGACATCGGTATCTTGTTAATTTTGTTGTTATATACCTTCTCAAGTGGTCAACAAAATATCGTTTCATTGGTTTAATATGCGACAATTACGAAAAATGTGAAACCAATACTGGTTACAAACTTATGACTGATTCATGTAAGACTATATTCATGTGTCAGTATTAACAAACTTATTACCAGCACGCTTGCATAAAAAATGAATAAGCAACAAGAAACTCTGGCTGGCTGGCGACGAACCAACAAAGCAAGAAGCCATCGCTCAACAAATATTCAGTGGAAAGAAGTGGAGATGGATTGGGCATACACTGAGAAGATCATTCGGAGACATCACGCGTCATGCCAGGCACTCGAGTGGAATCCAAATGGGAAACGATGAGTTGGGCGTCGGAGGTGAGGGTGACATGGAGGGGATTGTGTGAGGAAGAAATGAGAGCTTGTGGGCAATGGTGGAGCCAGGTTGAAAAGATTGCAGAGAAGAGAGTGTAGTGGAGACGTACTATTGGATCCGTATGTTCCACTAGGAATCCAAGGGACAATAAATAATAATATGTATTCAACAGGTTAATTTTAACCGCTTTTAAAAACTAATCATCTCATTTAATTCATTTCATTATGTAGAGCGTTAAAAAATATGAGACAAAGTGAAAGGAGACGTTGGTTTGCATAATGAGTGAATGAATTCGAAAATACAAACTTTTTCTCAAGATTATTTTTTTCCAAATTGTCAATTTTTTCGATTACAGAAGTAAACGAGATATCACTAAAATTTCCAATGAATACAAAATTCACTTTTTCTCGACTTCTAATGCTTTAAAGATACTACAAAGCAATAACTGTTTATTAATTTTCCTTCTGGTTTCATCTTCTGAGTTGTAGTTAACAAAAAGGAAGTGAATTGTTGACTGACAACAGACTTCCGGTTGTCTGTAGCTTTTTGAAGGGTTCAGCTAAGTTGTTGATGGTCTCTCCCAATCCATAGTAAGACTGAATGCATATAGCAGACTTACTGAGACAGTCACTACACTCATACTGAATTAAATTCTACTCACAGCTTCAAAAGCAGGTTGTAAGTAGTTGAATCGTGGAAACAGCTTCCATACAATACAAGTATCTATTCAGAGGCAGTTGTAACCAAGTTTACAGTTAGAATCCAATGTATGGTGGACTAAAAAAAATTCACAGTCACCGTAGTAACGATATTCACTTTCGATTTCGGTTCAGTTAATAGCGAACAAGTAGAGACAAGTGTAGTTGTGATTCACGGACTCACGCAACCAACTATGGATTAAAACTCTACTTCATATAATGAACGTATTATAGAAAGCAACTCAGTAGTCTCATAAACCCCACCGAAACGTGTTTGTATAGTAACCTAGTAGGTCAACACAACAGTTTGTCTGGAGAGCTGTGTTCTTCGACGGGTGTCCCTTAAGCAGGCCCACTGTCTCCATTCTTATTCAATTTCACCATAGATATTCTTATGGAGGTCCCCCTCTCCTCACCTCATTACGCAGACGTTCACCTAATCACAGGAGAATTTTCACTAGACTTAGAATATGCAGATGACATAGCTCTGCTAGGTAAAGACGCTGACTGATGAGATGCAGAGTCTTCTAAACTCTTTGAGTGCCAACTTGAGAATGTTTGGCATGCGTTTCTCATCACCCACATACAGATTGCTGCTCCACGATTGGTCTTCAACTGTGCCACGGCTAACAATAGACAGTGAAGTGGTTGAGTGTGTCGACCACTTCACTTACCTGACCTGGGAAGTGATGTGGGATCGGCCAAGACTTGATGGGTCAGTGGCCGGTGAAATCTCTGCAAGAATACAAAAGGCTCGACTGGCTTTTGCCAAGTTACACCACCTGTGTCACTGACGTGATATCCGATTGTCTATTAAGGGTCGCGTGTACTGCAACTGCACAGCAGTCCACTCTATGACTGTGAAACATGGCCATTCAAGGTGGAAGACATGAAAGGCTGGCTCCAGGTGATTGACCACCGTTGCCTTCGTAGTATGGGCCGTATTCTGTGGTGTCACCGCATGAGTAACATAGAAGTCAGGTGTAGATTTTTTAGGGAGTAGAGGTAAATCAGTTGACGAGGTTATGAACCTTCATTGACTGAGATGGTTGGGATACGTGTTACGTATGCCTAGTCGCCGTCTGCCTCGTCATACAGTGTTGACCGAAGTGGGTCCAGACTGAAAAAGGCCCGAGGTGGCCAGACTAAAACACGGAATCAATGTATGGAGTGTTTGACTGTTGGTTTGAGCCATGTGGAACGATGCAGACTAGGTGGTTGAGGTCCACGGGACAAGAGAAACCAGTGGTTGGAGACTGACTCTAGGTGATCAGATGACTCAGAATCGATGTCAGTGGCGCAAATATATACATGCATTGTCCTCATAGTAACGTTTTACCGAACCTCACCATTTTCTCATTCTTCCTTTCTCTCTTTTCGTGCTTTATATTTCTTTTGACTGGATTTTCGTTTCTTCAACTTACACTTCACTGCCTTTTAAATTGATGTACTGATATGAGGTGTGACAATTCGGACCGTTACGTAGTAATACCTGGTCCTATGTTGATTTGGATAGATGGATTGTATGTGGCTACCAACAGTTAAAATTGTTTTCTGAAGGAACAAGTGATCAAGTAACATGCACAAACGAAACACAAAGCATAAAAAGTTACAGAATAACGAGAGAGCAACAAAAAACTCACCTTTGTATCAACCAAATATCCAGCAAATATAGAGATTACTCCAAGTCCTAAATTCTGTATCGATTGAATTAGACCATATGCTGTGCCTCTTTGATGCAATGGAAGGATAAACGCAACCATAGGCCATAAACTACTCGCTAGAATCGAATAAGCTAAGCCTAACACTATCATAATAACTATAGGAGGGATTTGACCAGTGGTGAATGCAAAACAGATATGACATAACATTGTTATTATGATGCCAGTGAATAGCCAGTAGAGATTATATCCAATAAAATCGATAGCTGCACCAAAAAGTGGACTTGCCATAGCTGAGACAATATACACCATACTATTGACAACACCAGCTTCTTGAACAGATAAACCAAATTTTCCTAAATGTTAGTTTGAAAATTAGATGGGACAAGAAAATGATGTTAGCAAAGTTAACATGAAATTGTCATGAATGTATGACATTTCATACTGACGGTAATCTTTCCTCAGAATAATATTTCCCCGACCGATAGCTGCTACCTTGACGTGGTGGTCAGGTTAGTATATCACGATGACCCAACGGGCTATGCTGATGGAACGCTTATTCCCTCGAGGTCCTACCATACCAAAAAGATTTGTTGGATAGTGATCACACATAAAAGCAGTTACCCTTACCATGTTCTTACACAATATAATGGTGCATCATGATGGTTTACATCAGTCATTAGTGGTGATCCAAAACCACAGGACGTATTTTCGACCACATCTTCCATAATACAGGCCAATTTTTGTGGCATCAAAAAGGCTGTACATGACTAGTCTCTAACAGATGTTCTATGGGCTCTGCGATCACGCACTGACCCTTCTTTCAAGAAGACCTAACCTTCCACATTGTGGGCAGCTAGGAAGTGTCAACTGCCCTCACAACTCTGTCAGTCTTCAACTTCCCTCAGACCACTTTTTAGAAAATGAAGCTTACTGAAAGTGTTCAAACATTCGAGAACGTAAAACGCTGAATACAACTGCGCCATTGTGTACCATTTTCACAAATGTCACTAACAGTCGCTAACCATCCACTCATATCTTCTCGACAACCCCAGTCAGTTAGTCTACACCTCTATACACGGATCATACCAACAGTCAGACACTTTATCAACTGATCCTACGTCTTTGTCCAATCATCATTAGCTTTCTCCCAACCAAATCCAACTTCGGCTAAGATTGGACGCCAATGTGGTGGCTCGGCATGCACAACGCATTCAACTAATTTCGACACTGCTCACACAGTGATTCCAGCGTACGTGAGCAATCTGCAAAGACGCCTGGGTTCGAAAACCTCCAATTTCTCCATTTTTTCTACTTTCAAGGACCATGTCATATAACAGTATGATGAAACACAGTGGGCTGCAGTGCAGTATATTCGTCCTATAACAGACAATTATATATCTCACTGGCGCCAGAGACGATGTAAGTCGGTAAATGCCTTACAGGCTTTCTGTATATCCAAGCTGTCATTTTGTCAACAACCAAAGAATTCAGGTTAACAAGACTTCCTCAGTTAGTGAAGAGCCGAATGCTTTCTAACACTTCACTGTCTGTCCTTGGACTAGGAGTAGTTACAGATCGATCCTGAAACATCATAACACATTTGACAGGGGGGAAAGGTATACCAAACATACTCAGATTTTTGCTGAAGATGTTCAAAAGAGTTTGCATTTTTTTCAGCATTTTCGCCTAATATGACATTGTTATCTGTGTACTTTAAGTAAGCGAGGCGTACTACAGGGAATAGCTTAATCCTGCTTGTTCGGAGGTGCCTACGGTTACGTTCACAGTGAAGTGAGACAGAAACAGTGATAGTAAACATCCCTGGTGGACACCATTAGTTGTCATTACTTCACATGCAAACTCTTCATAAACCCTAACAGTTGCGTTGGTTTGAGTAGAGAACTTTGATCAGTATTACATATTAGCTCGTTACTCCTTTCACACTCAGGCATTGCTCTAAGAGGTGATGAATGGTTAAGATACGATCGTTTAAATCACAAACCTGCATTCTGTATCCAAGTTGATATTCTCCGGTCCCAGACTTACTGGTCACAAAACACCAGGCCCTACTGTCTTGCATCGTTTTAGGTTAGAAACAGCCTTCTCAGCTTTGAGGTATTGGAGGACTGATATCGATGTCCTATTCAGTTTCGAAATGGATCCTGTGCAACTGAAAGGTGGCCGTAGGCTAGTTGAACTACTTTCTAAAGTGTTCCGTCCAACGTTTTAGTCGCACACCCTGAAAATTCCTCAGACAGCCATCTGTTTTAATGAGTCTCACTAACCACTGTCTTCTTGTCAGTATTCTTAATAAGCCATGTCATTGGTGGGAACTAGCTAATGCCTTTCTCGTCTCCCTAGCTTTCATCATCAAAACTGCTCGCGACTAATGTGAAGACTCTAAGTCAATGTGCGTTCGAGATACTTGCGATACTTACTGAGGTGACAGCCAGCGGGAATGAGTCTTCTGTCATCAATCTATTCAAGTGACGTTTCGGAAATAAACTAACTTTTATTAACCTTTAAGATGTAGGTTATCGACCCTCTTTACCGTTGTTTCTACGGCAGATTGAATATCATGGCAGGTTCCCTCAGGATAAGGATTGGTGTCACGTTTAGATAAATGCTTATCCAACTCCTCCGTAAAATATGTATTTTACGTCCTCATCTTCCAGTTGAGGATAGAAAGGGTTTACAATCGTCTGTTTTCTGCAACCTATAAGGCGCAGGATATACACGAGCCTGTACTAGAGCATGACCGGAATTCAAACGGATACTTCAGAAAGAGCGCCAACCCTCAATGATTCTCCCCAACAGTGGCTGATAGCAATATGATCTATCTGGGTCCATCTTTGGTTTGATGTTGACATACGTCATGTGAAACAGCGTCTCTCCTTATGCTTAAAGTTAGAGCTGGCCAAAGACAAGTGATCGTCGGAACAAAACCACAACAATAAGTGTAAAATTTTGTCACTGTGGTAAAATGTAATCCCATATATTAGATTTGTTTATTCGACATAGCAGAGTGATACAGTGATGCAGCAGACGATCATCGTTGTCACTTCATCGGCACTGGATTCGGTAGATAATCCCTAATATGTTTCTCCAGTTGGCTCAGATCTCCCACTTAAGAGTTGGAATGACCTGTCATGATGACTATATTTGAACGTTCTGCTTTGGGCAGCAAAGTTGACAATTTTTCATAGAATTCATTCTTTGCATCATCTAGACTTCAGTCGGTGGGCGTGTAGGCGAAGATTCTGAATAGGCATCGACTAGTCTCACGTTCATTCTTAGTTTTTACGGATTTGTGTAGTCGGAGAGCACACAGACGGTTGTTAGCTGGTGTGCAGACAGGAAGTATGCTTTCTGCTGTGCAACTCAATGCTATGCTTACATCGACGAGTCCAAAAGAGCTAGCCACGGAATCTCTTGACACTTAAAAATTGAATTATAAAGACTCACCATAATGGCCAGGTAGGGCAAAGTTAATAACTACACTCGGGTCCTGTAGATATCTCAGAAACACAGTATAAATCCATAACTCAAGATTCCGAATTTCTGGCAATACATGCCTGTTGTTCGATGTGGCATGGGATTCAGTGTTGAAAGCTCAAATGTGAGACTAACAGCTAGGTTTTAAGAGACTAGGGATGGTGTTTCACTGGATTGGATCGTTGGCAATGATCGCAGAATGAGATGGTGGGGGGGATTCTTATAGGTTTAATATTGGTATCAGGAAGTGAAGGCAAGGGAGGAGGGTGTTATGTTTTATTGGGTTTTGCATACTAATTGAGGCGTGAGAGCAGTTGACACTTACCGGCAACCCACACCGTGGAAGGATAGTTAACACTGAGGTACCTGAAAAAGAAGGGTTAGTGTGTGACCGTAGAGCTCATATGTCATCTGCTTGAGATCGGTCATGCATAGCCTTCTCATAAGTTTAATATTCTCGAAACCATATCATCGGCACCGGCATGTTGCATGGTAAAAGGAAGTGTGCTATTTTCAGGGTTGACCATTTCTACCTACTTTCCCAAATGGAAGGCAGAATCAATATGGTACTGTTGGTCATCCCACGGGAAACACGTTACTGCTGTCACATTCCATCCAACCTACAATACGACTTAGCCCTCGGACCCCCATCATAGCGTAGCAATTTACACTGTCAGGGCAACTCCTTTATCTTACCCACTATCCGACACCTTTCCAGTAAGGTAGGACCTATAGGAAACAGGCGTTTAACCGGCACAGCTCATTAGGTGATGTACGAGCCAGACCAGGAGATTGGTCAGGACTGATAGTACCTCAAATATTGGTCACCAACAGAAAAGTTGATATTAAATAAAGTTTATCTAGTGACAAAATTAAGATCTAATCATTATCACATGTAGATACAGATCGGTGACGGGCTTATGACTTTCAACTACTGATTCGTAGGCTTGAACTCTGAATCATCTATCCAAGTCCTAGAGGCCAATAACTAGGATTAACCTTTACGTGCACAGTTTTCTTTACGCCAGTTAGCACATATTTTTGTTAAGTTACGTAAATATATTAATTAGTACGAAAAAAAACCCAACATGGACTTACTTTCAAAAAATACCAACCCCAAACTAACAAATGGGAATATTGTCACATAATACGCTACACAAATTATACAAATTAACCAAATAGCGGCTGGAAAGTAGATAATATCCTTGAGAGAGATCTTTTCATCATGATTCTCTTTATTTAATATATGTTGTTCCTGTTGGCCATCTTCATTGTTAATTAATTTGTTGGAGCCAGAATCTGTAGACTGAATATTTCCTGTGAGAGTTTTCCCAGTTACAGCAAGAATACGTTTAGCTCTGCAAAAATAAATGAAAGAGAAGTGTCAGGAAATGATATTTCTAATAGGATCCCATTATGATACAAAACTGATGGCATTTATTCAGCACCGAAATCTGGCCTTAAACAAACAGTCTTTATTTCATACCAAAATAGGTTCTATGAGGTGAGAATAGTCAAGCACTTCTTAACTCACTTCACGGTTTATACCAGTCTAGGAGTAGAATGGCATAAGGTTTAAGGCGGCCACATCACATCAGTCTATCTATCAATTGAGAATGCCCCAAGACAAAAGGTTAAGAAATAAAGGAAATAGTCAAAAGAGAATACTGAAATTTAGTTTGACAACTAAGATGACGATAATTTGTGGATACATCTGCTCCACTGCGATAGATTCTCAGTCATATTACACTGAGTCTCCAACCAATGGTTTCTGTTGTTACAGGGCCCCCTAGCTGTCAAGTTTACATTTTACAATGCGGCTCAGACCGAAAATCAAAAACCTCATCGACTAATACCACATCTTAGTGTAGCCAACTCTAAATTTTCCAGACCTGAGCTTACTTCCACACCTAAATTTATTTATTTGATGCATAGTGTACAGTGTAACAGCATTATTTACTGGATGACGTTTCGAGCACAAGTTATGACTCCTCATAATCATATCAATGTACTCACACTCCTTACGACAGATCATTTTTATAGTCTTGTCACAACTTATTCTTTTTTTTCTATTGGTAGTAAAGGTTTCGACATCTCTGGCACAGGTGTTGCGTCATTTCTTTAACATGTGTTGGGTGGTGTTGATTCGATGAACAAAGATTCAGCAATCAATCTCTCTCTCTCCACCTAAATTATGTTAGACTTAAGTACAGTGGTTTTATCCCATTCAGTCTGTTGTGTGGGGGTTTGCCATTCAATATTTAGCTAAATTCTCATATTCCGCTAATCTATCTGACCCCGACCGGCTAGTTTAACCAGTATACTTGACCTCACAGTCATTACATGGAATTTGATAGATTTGATTATCTTGCTGAATTAGTTCAATCCGATCCTTCAGTCAGCCGATAAAGCTTTTCTCTGAATGAGTTTGTAGGTTTAAATGCTACCCTAATTTCATTTTTGTTGAGAATCCTACGTAAAGTTTCTGATGTTCCTTCCTTATAAGGTAATACATTCGAGGCTGTGAACTCCTTTTTACTCATGTCGCTATTATTCCTATTCGTATTACTGTTATTATTTTGTTTCTCGTGTGTTCATAGGAATTTCTTAGTAATTATTAGTCCTCCTTTAATTTGTCTCAACCTCGCCTGGTTAACTAGTTTACTAGTTACTAGCCGGTCCCTAGCCCGGGTAAAGAGGGAAGGTTGGGCATAGGGCTAGCAACCCTACCCCGGAAAACAAATCTAACCGCTAAACAAACTTCAAAGCACAAACAAAATATAAAAATGAAAACAAACTTATTCCCCGCTGGAATCGGAGAGGCAAAATGACGCCAGTTGGTGAAAGCCTTCGGGAAGTCGATTGGCCGATGTGTCTTCTCTCAATCAAAGCGAAAGTAAACGTGGGGACATGGAATGTCCTCACGATGTTTGAACCCAGTAAGGCAGCCCAGATTGCAAACGAGATGGAAAGGTATCACACTGAAGTGCTTGGAATTTGCGAAAGCAGATGGAATGGGAGTGGACTCACCAAACTCTCAACTGGAGAATCAATAATCTACTTCAGTATTGTCACCCAGACGACAGTCACCAGCACACTGAGTTGTGGAGTGGCTATCATGATATCCCCAAGAGCATCGAAGGCTCTCATGCAGTGGGAACCAATCTCCTCCACAATCAGGATCATAACAGCAAGATTCAACTCAAAAGGAAGGAAGGTCACAATCATACAGTTTTACGCACCTACAAATAATGCGGATGAAGAGAAGAAGGAGGAATTCTACAGACAACTTCAATCAACACTGGACAAGACCTCAGTTGGCGATATCAAAATTCTAATGGGTGACATGAATGCCAAACTGGGAGAAGACAACACAGGAAGAGAACTAACCATGGGTCGAGAGGCGCTAGGTGAAATGAATGAGAATGGAGAATTGTTTGCAGAATTCTGAGCATTCAACGATTTGGTAATTGGAGGCAGTGTGTTCAGGCACAAAGATATCCACAAAGCGACATGGATTTGATTTCACCAGACACCAGGACACACTAAAAATTAAATCGACTTTATCTCAATCTCAAGAAAGTGGAGACGCAGTCTACTTAACACAAGGTCAAGAAGAGGAGCAGATGTAGGTTCACACCACTCACTGTCTAGTGAAAACAACCTTCCAAATCAAGTTAAAAGCCTTCAAGGAAGCTGGTGATAGACCTCAATTCAAGTACAACACTCGGAAACTGAAGGATGAAACTACAAAGGAAATCTTCAAGGCAGCCATTAAGACAAAATGGGAGATATCGAGCAACACTACTGAAGAAACCTGTGTGGAAGAACACTGGAAGTCCTTGAAAGAGATGTGGAAAGAAACCTGCACAACAGTATTAGGAAGGAAGAAGAAAGAAGTCAGGAGAAGGAATGGATCTCGACGGATACCTGAAAGCTGATAGAGGAGGGGGAGGAGGATGGTGAAGCAGAAGATAAACCAGTGCAAGGATGCTCAACGACAAGAGGAACTGAGCACAATGTATAAAACACTACACTGGACAAAGAAGTGAAGAAGAGTGCACGCAAAGACAAAAGACACTTCTACGAAACACTGGCAAGTGAGCAGAACAGGCTGTCGGCTGGTAGGAAAGAGAGACCTGACAACATTGTATCAAATAACCAGGTTGCTATCAGGGAAGAGACCAACACAGATGAAACCAATAAAAGATGAAGAAGGAAATTTAATTACAAAAGAAGAGAAACAGAGGAAACGATGGGCCGACCACTTCAAGAAGCTTTTGAATCGACCACCACCACCACCTGCACTTCGTCCAGAAATACCACCTCCAGACCAGCCGCTGAACTACAAGTGAACATAAATCCTCAAACAAAAGTGGAAGTCCTGAACGCCATAATGCCACTGAAATGCGGGAAAGCAGCAGGACTAGATGGGATCCCACCAGAAGCACTGAAAACAGAAGCAGAGACAACAGCAGACATGCTCACACCACTATTGCAGAAGGTGTGGAAGGAAGAGAAGGTACCTGGCTAGTGATTGGAAGAAGGGTTACCTTGTCAAACTGCCGAAGAAAGGAGACCTCAGTGCTTGCAAGAACTGGCGCGGAATCACTCTCCTATCCACCCCAAGTAAAATATTAAGCCGCATCATCCTGGAGAGGCTTAAAGATGCACTGGATTCAAAACTGCGACCGGAACAGGCAGGCTTCAGGAAGTACAAATCATGTGCAGACCAAATTGCAACGCTTCGCATCATCATAGAACAGAGCATAGAATGGCAATCAGCTCTCTACCTCAACTTCATCGACTTTGAGAAGGCCTTTGACAGCGTCGACCGACAAGTAATTTGGAAACTGCTTCAATACTACGGAGTACCGCAAACCTTTATCCGCCTCATTCAACAACTATATGAAGATGCCACATGCCAAGTAATTCACAATGGGAAGCTCAGTGATGATTTTGAAGTGAAGACTGGAGTGAAACAAGGTTGTCTACTATCCCCCATGATATTCCTGATTGTGGTCGACTGGACTAGATCATGCAGGAAACAGTGGGGAGCGAGAAGAGGGGGATACACTGGACTGTGAAAAAGAACCTAGAAGACTTGGATTTCGCCAATGATGACTTGTGCCTGATGTCACATAAACTTGAAGATCTGCAGGCAAAAACTAACAAGTTGACAGGAGAGGCAGCGAAGACGGGACTTCAGGTGAATATAGAGAAGACAGAAGTGATGAAGATACCGCACCACCACCATCAACAACAACAACAACAAACTCCAATCACCGTCAACGGGAGAAACTTAAAGGTAGTAACCTCCTTCACTTATCTAGGAAGCACTGTTTCAACTACAGGCGGGACGGACGAGGACGTCAAAGTCAGAATCAGAAAAGCAAGACAGGTGTTCATTAGCCTGAAACCAGTGTGGAGATCTTATGAACTCAGCATGCGGAACAAGATACGGATTTTCAACACCAACGTCAAGTCAGTGCTCTTGTATGGTTCAGAGACTTGGCGCGTCACGAAAGGGATTTCCAATAAACTACAGACATTCATCAACAACTGCTTACGCTCGCTGCTGAAGATCAGATGAGATGGCCAGAACAATGAGAATAAGCAACAAGGAGCTCTGGGAACGAACCAACCAAGAACCTATCACGCAACAAATATGCAGGAGGAAGTGGAGATGGATTGGCCATGCACTGAGAAGGCCGACTGAGAACATCACGCGTCAGGCCAGATACTCGAGTGGAATCCCCATGGGAAGCGACGAGTTGGACGTCCGAGGGTGACATGGAGGAGGTCGTGCGAGGAGGAAATGAGAGGTTGTGGACTGTCGTGGAACCAGGTTCAAAAGATCTCAGAGAACAGAGGTCACTGGAGGCGTGCTACTGAAGCCCTATGTTCCACTAGGAACTCAAGGGACTAATAATAATAATAAATTTAATTTGTCTCAGTTCTTTATTTCCACCCTTTGCACTGACTATTGAGTTTTCTAGCTCTATTATATAGCCAGATGACTAAACCCGCATTAACTGATATTGGATGAGATAACCTGAAGTCTAGATACCTGTTGGAATATTTTAGCTTCCTGTGGACGGTAGTATCTGACCAACGTCTGTTCTTCGCTTTACTCTCCAATCCAACATAGATAATTCGCCTTGTAGGTGAATTGGATTGTATCCACTACTGAGCTTATATGTATAAGGAAATTGTCGATATGTTCAGACTTCACCACAGTGAATGCGTCATCCAGATATTGCACCATATTTTACGTGCAGGATTATACGTTTGTGAAGCCGTGTTTTCCCAACTATCCATAAACTATATCTGCTATGATTGGAGATATTGGTGATCT